CAAAGTCAGGGGAGTAGTGTTTGTGGAATCAGAAAGTGTCCCAGTAGAGCCTTAAGCCTTAAGAAATACAGGCCTTAAGGCTGGTGGCAGTGGCTCACGCCTATAATCCTAGCACTCTGGGAGGCTGAAGCAGGAGGATTGCTTGAGCTCAGGAGTTGGAGACCAGCCTGAGCAAGAGGGAGACCCTGTCTCTACTAAAAATAGGGGGGAAAAAAATTAGCTGGGCAACTAAAAATAGAAAAAATTAGCCTGGTGTGATGATGTTTCCCTATAATCTCAGCAACTTGGGAGGCTGAGGCAGGAGAACTGCTTGAGCCCAGGAGTTTGAGGTTGTTGTGAGCTATGATGAAGCCACTGCACTCCAGCCTGGGCAACAGAGACTCTGTCTCAAAAAAGAAAACAAACAAAAAAGAAATAGGCCTTTTTAAAAGACAAAATTGGGAACATGTATAAAGGCACAAAGGTGGGAGGAAAAAACACTTGGTGGAGTTACCAATTATTACATAGTGCTGGGGAAGGAAGTCAGGATGGGGCAGATCATGATCACAGGTAGTAGCCCATTTATGAAGGGTCTTATAGGCCCTGAAAAGGAGTTTAACTGATATCCTGGAGGCAAATAGATGTCACATGTGGTGTCTTGGCACAGTAACATCTTTTTTTTTTTTATTTTTTATTTTATTTTTTTTTTGAAGGGGGAGGGAGGAGAGGGATTCAGTTTCTTTTCTTTTCTTTCTTTTTCTTTTCTTTTTTTTTTTTTTTTTTTTGAGACAGAGTCTCGCTTTGTTGCACAGGCTAGAGTGAGTGCTGTGGCATCAGCCTAGCTCACAGCAACCTCAAACTCCTGGGCTCAAGCAATCCTCCTGCCTCAGCCTCCCGAGTAGCTGGGACTACAGGCATGCGCCGCCATGCCCGGCTAATTTTTTTCTATATATATTAGTTGGCCAATTAATTTCTTTCTATTTATAGTAGAGACGGGGTCTCGCTCTTGCTCAGGCTGGTTTCGAACTCCTGACCTCGAGCAATCTGCCCGCCTCGGCCTCCCAGAGTGCTAGGATTACAGGCGTGAGCCACCACGCCTGGCCTACAGTAACATCTTGATTAATTATGAGGTGAGTCAGAAGTCATGTGTAACTATAAATAAGGTACCAGTTTGCACATGGTTTTCTGCTTTATGTATATAATCATTGAAAACAGATTCACATTACTCTCGCATTGTACTGAGATTTCTTGAATGGATAAGGTTGTGTAGTTAAAACCAGCTCTCTAGGATCTGTGCATAAATCCTGACTTCATCTATGTAAATAAGTCATGTGAACTCATTCAAAATAAGTCAGGCATTAAGAACTTTTTAGCAAGGTGCTACCTAGTGAGATATGCCTGCTAAAACACCCTGGCAACACTTTCAAGAATCGGTTGTAAGGGGACACGGATCAGGTCAGAACAAGTTAGGAGGCTACTTTAAAAGTCCCAAGTCCACAATAGTACGGCGGCCATGTAAATGGAGAGGAAGGACATAGATACAGAGTCAAAGGCAGATTGGCCAGCCTTGGTGGTTGACTGGAGTGAGTATTAAGAACCCAGTGACTAGGGTGCTTGTGCCATTTACTGAGGCGGAGGCTGCAAGGGAGAGGAAGAGCAGGTTTGCCATGGTAAGTGGAAGGCAGTGAGAAAGTGGCTGAATTCAATTTAGGGTTTGAGGTGCCTATGGGTCAACCAATTGGAGCTCTCAGGTATAAGGTATGGTGCCTGGGCAAGTGGTCTGGACTAGAGGTGTTAGATTTGAAGGTCATGAGAACATTGGGGTAGTTGGAGTCATGAGATTGAGGGAAATTGGCCAGGGTACATATGGCATGAGAAATCAATAGGGCAGCCTCTTGGGACACACCTTGTTTGTTTTTCACTGAAATGGTATGTTTAAAGAGATAACTGAATGGCTGTTTGTTTTCTAGACGTATCTGTTTGGCTGAGGCATTTCTTACTGCAGATACTATATTGAATACGCTGCAGAACATTTCTGAAGGATTGGTGGTGTACCCCAAAGTAAGAGGCCTCAAAAAAGTAAATTATTAGGGAAGGGTTGGAATGTGGGAAGAGGAGTGCTCTGGAGTGTGTTGTGGGAACTGTATTCTGGTCTAATTGGAGCTTGTCCCAACTTAGCATGTCCTTGAGTTCATGACATAAGCTCTAGGGAACGAGCTCTGTGGAATTCATAGACACATTTATGGAAGAAGGAAAAAGAAGTACTTTACATTGCCTTGAACTATCTACCAGTATGAGTCGTCTACTCTGGTGTGACTAGGCACAGTAATGGCTCCATTTGTCTGTTTTTAAGTCCTTAGCAGATTGGTTCATTCCCTTGATAATACTCAGCTCTTAAGACTGGGCATTGAAATGTAACACATTTTGGTTTTAGGAATCATTCCTCTGAAGTAACTTTTTTACTTAAGTCAATATTCTTTTTTTAAATTTAAAATAAACCTCCAAATTAATAAGAAAACTGAGAAGTACTATATAGAATAAACACAACCCATTATTCTCTCCATAAATATTATAGTTTGTGTCCCTGCATTTTGCTTGAGATAGTTGGTGTCCTGCTGTGTGTATGCCTTTGTAACTTTGAGGCATCTTTTTTTGGCCATTTATTTAATCTTTTCTTCTAGGTAATTGAACGGCGTATTCGGCAAGAGCTGCCTTTCATGGCCACAGAGAATATCATCATGGCCATGGTCAAAGCTGGGGGTAGCCGCCAGGTTTGTAACCCCTCATGCTCCTGGATAAATTGAGAGTTCACCTTCGGTCCTGCTCTCTTCTCCCTGAAGAAGAAAGGATGAAGGAAGGTGTTACCTTCAGTCACAGTGTTGGTACAGAGCAGTGACCATACTCTGCTGTCTCTGGAAGGTGATTGTGGTGAACTTAGTTTATCAAAAGTCAATCACTTGTAGAAAAAGTCCACTCTTAGTGAAGGAGTGAGGCCTGAAATTCCAGAGGGAGTGATGGAAAGAGCAGGAAGCAAGAGCAAAAGGTTCATAAGGCTTTAAAGAAGAGCCCAGGGCAAGGTGGGCATTCACTTCCAGTTCATCCGAAGATGTAGTCAGAGAGTTGAGATCTTAGTGGACTCAGACTGAAGGGAGCCACCTCAGCCTAGAGGAGTGTTGTGTGTCAGCATGGATGTGAAGTATCTCATGACTGTTTAAGCATGTTCATATGCCTTGTTAGTAGTGAACTGACTCCACTTCACTGTCTTCCCAGGATTGCCATGAGAAAATCAGAGTGCTTTCCCAGCAGGCAGCTGCTGTGGTTAAGCAGGAAGGGGGTGACAATGACCTCATAGAGCGGATCCAGGCTGATCCCTATTTCAGTCCCATACACTCCCACTTGGACCATTTACTGGATCCTTCTTCTTTCACTGGCCGTGCGTCCCAGCAGGTAAGCCTCCATCAGAACTCTTCTGGGGTTCTTCCCTAGATGCCCTCTTTTCTCTTTTCACACTGCTGGCTGCGGAGCCTGGCATACTGTCTTTGATGTTTCTATTTTATGATGGGAATGGGGCTAGTTAGAAGGAAATTAGATTACCTTAGATGTCCTGAAAAATAAAAAGAATGAATGGAAATCAGAGAAGCTTGCTGGCTAAAATGTGAAGATTTGACTATTTTGAGCTGCTGTAAGTATTTCCCCTTGTGGATTTCTTGAGGTTCTCTTTCGGTCTCAAGAATATGTTGTAATGGACAAAGACTTGGGTTTTATTGTCAGGTAGATCTGGGTTCAGTCCTGACTTCTGGCATTTACTGTCTGACAGCATAGAAATAAAATATTTCATACTGGTGTTATGAGGGTTAAAACGCCTAGCATAGTGCTCGATGCGTAGTGGATGCTCCGTAAACATTTTGTCATTTTTCCTGCTGACCTTTTGGAAAAGACTAGAAATGTTAGTTCAGAAACATTGACTTAGTACATACTAGGTACTCAGTGTGTGTTCAAGTATTGTGTTTAATATTGGGGACTTGTTACACAAGGCAGTACATGTAGGGATTGAGGGAAGTACATCTTTTGGGGGGTGGGAGTCACAAAGAAGGAGATATCCCTTTTAACAGAATGTGGTAGAAGTTAGGAAAGACTTCCTGGAAGACATCATGTCTGAGCTGACTAGTAGGAGATTAGCCTGGGAAGGCCAGCTGGGAGGAGATGGCAAACTATATAGACCTCTAACATGTGAAAATGACTACAGTTGAGTGTTGCTGGAGTAGCAAGTGCCCCAGAAGTAGTAACTGGATTTGAAGCTGAGGACCAGAGTTTGTCCTTTACATTCAAATCACTCAGGTGTTATGTAAAAGTTGGACTTTAAAGACTTAAAACTTGGAGGTAGAGAGACCAGTGAAGAGGCTACTATAATGGGCTAAGCAATGGATGATGAGGGCTTTGACAAAGGCCGTGGTTACGTAGATAGAAGGGGGAGAGAGGAGGTTAATCTCTTGGTGGCAGGTGGAATAGGGCTGGAAAGGAGGGAGGGGAGAAGCCATGGCGATTTTATTAATAGCTTTTGTGGAAATGGTGGGACCAACTGAGAGAATACAGGTGGGGTTGGTTTGTGGGGAAGGATGGTGGGCATGTGGGTTGAATTGCCTGTGTCTAGGGAGAGACTTCTGATAGGCAATTGAGGAAAACAGACACTCAATGATGGAGTAAAAGTTTTATCAAATTAGTCTCAGTGATATCAGTTGACATTGAAAAAGGTGTTATCCACTTACATCTTAACATTTTCTTTTGTCTTATCTTTACTTTCCTCTTTGGAACAGGTACAGAGATTCTTAGAAGAGGAAGTGTTTCCCCTGTTAAAACCATATGAAAATGTGATGAAGGTGAAAGCAGAATTATGTCTGTAGAGTCTGAAAAGAATTAAACAATCATTGTTGGTTTTGTCACCTTGATTGTTAAGGTGTGAAAAAGTGTTATTGTAGTGTCTCATTTTACCTTAAGAATTGTTGCCTTACATTAATACAGCATTTTCTGCTTCCCATGGTGGTTTTCACATTTCTCAAGGTTAACAGTGCAGAAACAGAATGCACTGTAGTTGACTGTTTTTTATAGCAACACAGACTTGCACAATAAACAGCTCATACTTGCTCTTGTCCTTTCAAGGCACGTTTTCCAGCTGTCTCAGTGTAGTCCTTCTCACATGTTCACTTGATGGTGCAGTGGCAAATTCTTGGTCCTCTCTCCTAACGGTAAATTTGATCTAGATCTAGAAAAACAACCTGGAATTAGCAAAGTTGGATACCTTTATTTCGATTATATCTGGCTAGAATATGTAATGAAATTTGGAACTACAATTCTAAAAAAAACACAGCAAAAACTCTGATGTGATCATCGGGCTTAATCAGTTCAAGTTGTGCCCGACCTCATTTTATCTTTTGTTAAGGCATGTATATCAGGGAAATGCTAATTGGGTGTATTGATTGCAACATGGCATCTGGCAGTCTTTACTCCTTGTTATGTGGGTTTTTTAAAATGACAAAAAATAATTGTATACATTCATGGGGTACAGAGTGATGCTTTGATACATGTATAGTGATTAGATAAGGGTAATTAGCATATCCATCACCTCAAACATTTCTTTGTGTTGGCATGTTCAGTATCCTCCTATCTGAAATGATATAATGTTAACTATAGTCATACCACAATGATATAGAACACTAGAACTTATTCCTCATATCTAGCTATAATTCGTTACATGAATTTATATGTCATTAAATATGAAATATCCGATTTTGAATCAAAAGTTTAGTTTATTACACCTCAAACAAGAAGCAGTACAATTAATCAAAGTATGTGCTTAAACTATTGACACAGTTTTGCCACCTTAATGGTAGCTTGTTTATGCCAGCAGTGGAAAAAGCCTGTAGAGCAAAATGGCGATGAAATCATGAAAGGGGTTTTCCACAGCTTGTTGAGAATTAAATATTTTTCCTTGCAAGAAGTGGTCCAAAGCTGGAAGAAGTAAGTGGTAGTCAGCTGGTACAAGGTCTAGTGAATACAGTGGATGACAGTTTCCAAGTCCAGCTTCTATAGTTTGAACAGCATTGTTTTTTTGTGTTTTTTTGAGACAGTTTCACTCTGTTGCCCAGGCTAGAGTGCCGTGTCATCAGCCTAGCTCACAGCAACCTCAAACTCCTGGGCTCAGGCAATCCTGCTTCCTCAGCCTCCCGAGTAGCTGGGACTACAGGCACGTGCTAATTTTTTCTGTATAGTTTTAGTTGGCCATTAATTTCTTTTCTATTTTTTTTTTTTTTTTCAGTAGAGACAGTGTCTCGCTCTTGCTCAGGTTTAGAACTTCTGACCTCAAGCAATCTACCCGCCTCGGCCTCTTGGAGTGCTAGGATTATAGGCGTGAACCACCACGCCGGCCTGAACAGCACTGTTTTTTGTGACGTGGTCTTGCAAGAGGATTGGCCAGTCTCTCTTGACCAAGCTCCGCTGCTTCATTGCAAGCATCCCGATATTTTGTCTGATTGGTTGCAGCAGACATTCACTGTAATTGATTGAATAGGTTTCATGAAGTTGTAGTGGATAATTCCGGTGCTGGACCACCAAACAGATGCCATTAGGGTTTTTGATGAATATTTGGTTTTGGACCGCGTTTTGCCACTTCATCTTGATTCAACCATTGTGCTGAATGCTTGTGATTATCAAAAAGAATCCGTTTTTTGGCCGGGCACAGTGGCTCACGCCTGTAATCCTAGCACTCTGGGAGGCTGAGGCGGGAGGATTGCTCGAGGTCAGGAGTTCGAAACCAGCCTGAGCAAGAGTGAGACCCCGTCTCTACTATAAATAGAAAGAAATTAATTGGCCAACTAATGTATATAGAAAAAATCAGCCAGGCATGATGGTGCGTTCCTGTAGTCCCAGCTACTCGGGAGGCTGAGGCAGAAGGATTGCTTGAGCCCAGGAGTTTGAGGTTGCTGTGAGCTAGGCTGACACCACGGCACTCAATCTAGCCTGGGCAAAAAGTGAGACTCTTTCTCCAAGGAAAAAAAAAAAGAATACGTTTTTCATCACATAATACAATGTAGAAACGGTTCACCTTTATGTTGTGACACAAGGAAAGGCAGGCTTTGAGACAATTTCTCTTCTGATGCTGGTCTAATTCACATGGAACCCATCTACCCGGCTTCTTTACCTGCCCATTTGTTTCCAAATAGTCCAGTATTGTTGGAATAGTAATGTCAAACCTTGCTCCTAATTCATGTGTAGGTTGAGATGGATTCACTTTTACAATACAGCTTTCAGCTCATCTTTATCCACATGGGTCTCAGGTCACCCACATGGCTCATTTTCAAGATTAAAATCACAAGAAGGGAGCTTCTAAAATCATCAACATACTGTGCATTTATTAGCCACATCCTTTCCAAACACTTCGTTGATATTTCGTGCTGTCTGCACTGCATTGTTTCCACAATGGACCTCATATTCAAAAATAACATGAATTTTTGACTTATCCATGGTTTTACAAAATATGCTCTTAAAAAATTTTGAAAGATAGTTACAAGCCAAAATATGCATTTGAAAGAATGAAGATGTACCTTTACATTAAAGTGTCAAAGTGAAATAAATGTCAGAGATACTGTCAAACTTCATAGTTAAGGAAATTGGACATTCCATACTTAATAACCTAATAGATGATTGGAGCAACTGTAGCCAAAAAATATTGAGTTATGAATTGCCCACCTGGGAGAAGAACACTAGTGTTATTTAACCCAGTCTCATTCAGCATAGATGAAAATGATGAAAGCTTTTATCAGATTTGCAGGTGACACAAAACTAGGAGAATTATCCAGTACATTTATTTGGTAAAATAAGATTTCATCTGGCGGGGCGAGGTGGTGTGGGTCTGTAGTCACAGCTACTCAGGAGGCTGAGGTGAGAGGATCCCTTGAGCACAGGATTCCAAATCCAGCCTGGGCAACATAGTGAAACCCTGTCTCAAACCATTTCATCTAACCTAAACTGATTGAAATGATGTAGCCAAGACTAAAAAGAAAAAGTAAGAATAGATGTAAATAAGTTAACCTTAAACTCAGTATGAGCCAGAACTGAGAAGACAAGTTTTAGATATATGTAAATGGTATTATAGTGTCCGCGAAAAGCCCCCAGAGGCTTACTGTTTCGGACTCATAGCATTATGTGCAAATTTGGACACCCAGTCTAAAGAACAGATAAACTAGAGAGTCAGCCTCCAGAGAGGACCTCATCATATGAGAAGTGAAGGAGGGTTAGGGCTCTTTATCCTACTATATAGGAGAAAACTTGTCAACATTTCAAATACTGTATGGAGGAAGAGTGACTTGATTGTTACCCCAAGAAACACAAATGAGATTGATATCCATTGTTAAGGATCTGAGACTAGTTTGGGCCAAGGCATTGGAACTGCTGAGAGTTAGTGACCCACCCCAATTCCCCAGGTCAGACAGAAGCTGGAAGACTACCTAGTGGTCAGGAATGTTGTGAAGGAGGGGAGGCTGAATCACCTCGAATTTTATCTAAATAAAGGAGCCAGAAAAGCCAAGCCAATTGAAGTAGTGCACTCTTGTAGTCCCAGCTACTTGAGAGGCTGAGGCAGGAGGACTGCTTGAGGCCAGAAGTCCAAGTCCAGTTTGGGCAAGACAGGGAGACCCTCTCTTAAAAAAAAAAACAGCTGGCCAGGCGCTGTGTCTCACGCCTGTAATCCTAGCACTCTGGGAGGCCGAGGCGGGAGGATTGCTGGAGGTCAGGAGTTTGAAACCAGCCTGAGCAAGAGCGAGACCCCGTCTCTACTATAAATAGAAAGAAATTAATTAGCCAACTAATATATATAGAAAAAATTAGCCGGGCATGGTGGCGCATGCCTGTAGTCCCAGCTACTCGGGAGGCTGAGGCAGCAGGATCGCTTGAGCCCAGGAGTTTGAGGTTGCTGTGAGCTAGGCTGATGCCACGGCACTCACTCTAGCTTGGGCAACAAAGTGAGACTCTGTCTCAAAAAAAAAAAAAAAAAAAAAGGCAAAAGAACAGAGCTCAACCTATTGGGAAAAAAACTCTAATAGAAGGAGATTCTTGGCCAGGCGCGGTGGCTCTTGCCTGTAATCCTAGCACTCTGGGAGGCCAAGGTAGGCGGACTGCTCAAGGTCAAGAGTTCGAAACCAACCTGAGCAATAGCAAGACCTCATCTCTACTAAAAATAGGAATTAATTGGCCAACTAATATATATAGAAAATATTAGCTGGGCATGGTGGCGCATGCCTGTAGTCCCAGCCACTCGGTAGGCTGAGGCAGAAGGATTGCTTGAGCCCAGGAGTTTGAGGTTGCTAGGCTGAGGCTACAGCACTCACTCTAGCCTGGGCAACAAAATGAAACTCTCTTAAAAAAAAAAAAAGGCAATTCTTTACTTTTTTGGCAGGAGAGACAGGGTCTCTCATTTGCCTGGGCTAGAGTGCATTGGGGTCATCATAGCTCATTGCAGCCTCAAACTCCTGGGATTATAGATGTGAGCCACTGTATCTGGCTCATCAGTTCATATTGAATAGTGATATTAATCGGGAGAAAAGTCATGGAGGCTTCCAGTTTCCATCCACAAGTGAGTGGCCCTTTCATTGCTCTGGCTCTAGGGCACTGAGAAATATCCTATTAAAGTTTAAAACTATAGGAAAATGTTATACCTCTGTCATGGTTTTAAATTTTAATAGAACAGCTGTCTTTATTTATTTATTTTTGAGACAGAGTCTCCTTTTGTTGCCCAGGCTAGAGTGAGTGCCATGGCGTCAGCCTAGCTCACAGCAACCTCAAACTCCTGGGCTCAAGTAATCCGCCCGCCTCGGCCTCCCAGAGTGCTAGGATTACAGGCGTGAGCCACCACGCCCAGCCAGAACAGCTGTCTTTAAAAGTTGTATTTGGGATAGTGTTTGTTGTAAGAGTATAGGAAAGTATATTTAAAATACATAATGCAAACATTAAGAGTAGATAAAAATTAAGTAGATAAAAAACAATTATCCCATGATTTATTAAATAGCTTAGGTACTCTTTTTTTTTCCCAAGACAAAAAAGGATAAAATAATGTATTTACATTTTACATTTCTTTTGTGATAGCCTGGAGAAAGCAGGTATCTACAAAATACTTTATTTCTGATACAGGTTTTATATTCAAACATATTTTTTCAGCACCCTACTGTATACTGGGAATGCAGTGGTGAGCAAGATAGTCTGCCCTCCAAGAGCTTATGGCTCCAGTGCAGGACACAGAATGTACTACAAAGTGGTGAGAGTGGCTCCTCAATAAGTGGGACATAATTCAACCTTTGAACTCATGCAGAGTTCTGCAATTTGCACTGAGAAAGGGGCCTCTTGAGATGATACAACTTTTCAATTACAGGAAACCCACACTACTTCCCTTTTTAGTTGGTGAAGCATTTCATATTCACTCCATCATGATGCAGACACTGCTTTTCCCACCTGCGTGGTGCTTGGCTGAATTACTTCAGTACACCTGGCTCCATACGTGCCCATTTGACATTGCCAGAATTGAGAATGACCTTGCCTTGGGTGCTATCTATCCTAAGAAACTTAACAATTTGACATTTTTCTTTCTCTCTTTTGTTGTCTGTCTAATGGAGGCTTAAAATGTACGTAGAGTTCTTAAACACAGCATTTATAAATAAGAAAGTTTCATATAATTGTTAGCAAATCTACCATTCCTCAAAAGGGAAGTATTTGCTTGTGGCCTTTAGACCTACCTGGTATTGATCTCCACCAAATGTCCCATTGGAGAGGGCTGCAAGCTTTATTTGGCAACAGCATTGATAATTCTGTAGTTCCCTATTGTCTGTAGGAAAAGTAGGAAAAAGTGAAATAATAATCGTTTATTGTATAAACCTAAATGGTCTGTGCTGAAATTAGCACTAATCAGCCATTGAATTTTTACACCTCAGCTTATTTTACAGCTATTTTCAAGGAATCGTATTTTCCCATAGAGACAGATTTAAAAACCATAGATAGCCCTTGCAAATTGTGAGATGATAAAAAAGGACTGTCACCACACTAAAAAGGCAGACATTTATTGTCCTATGGCAATATTTTATTTTTTAAAAGAATTAGAGGCAGTGCTGTGGTTGGGAAGAAAAATGAACTTGACGTCAGAAAGTGGGTTCAAATCTCTGTTCTGCCACTTAATAGCTCTCACTATTTTGGCCCGGTCCTCCTCTGTAAAATAAATGAATAATAAAATATACCCTGCTTTCAGCACGTACGTGTTGTGGAAAACATGCCAAAGTGTTTTGTGAACTGTATAGCAAGGACATCATTGAAATATCACCTTGTATCTTGTAGGCTTTGCCTGTGGTGTCCCCCTCATAGACACCTGGGCAGCACCATCTTCTGATCCATTAGGAACCTGGATTTAATTACAGGTTAATAAGCAGCTCTAAACCAAATGTATATCTCTTCAGAATTAGAAGATATTTTTAGAAAAAGATTCCTGAATACTGTTTGAGCTTTTGGTGACTTTTCTGGTACTCAAAGTGAGAATCCTACCCTAGGCCGAGAAGCCAATGGAACTTTTGGTGACTTTTCTAAAACAAGGCAAGTTTTTTTCAAGCTAGAGCCTGAGTTTCACTAGGACCTGGATGTCAAATGGAGATGGGCTCATACTGTCCTGGAGCGTTCATTCCTGCTACGCTTAAACGTTTTTGCCACACAGCAGTGAGTTCTCACAACAGCCATAAGTTCACATTCTCATTTAATGGATGAGCTAAATGTTAGTGTGGCTAGTGATTCAAATGCCGGCCCCCTGACTACACCCACTGCATCTCACAAGCTCCAGAGAGTGAATTTCTTGGGCAAGACCTTAACCAACCTGTGGCTTCTTCCAAGGCTTGTGAATTGTGCAAGAGTGGATTAGGCTGGTCTAGGACTGGTTCCGTGCACCCACAAAGAAGGGACTTAAATATTTGGAAAATTTAAAAGTAATTTGCTCTGTCTTTCATCCTGACTGCTGGTCCACCCCATGATGCCCTAAGTTGCTCAGGCTAAGGTTCAGACCGCTAGGGTGAAAACGGGCTTCGCAGGCCGCCTGTGCCCGCGCCCCCTGGCGGTGGAGCCGGGCACGGAAAGCCGGCTTGTGGAGTGGTGCCGCCCAGCACGGGAAAGGACTACAGCCCCCAGCATGCCCTGCGGGCGCCCCTCTCCGCCCGGCCGCGCGTGCGCGGAGGCGCCGCCGAGGTCTGACGGGTGAGAGGTGAGGAGCCGCTAGCACGACCCGGGATTGGCGCTGAGGTGGCACGCGGGGCAGGTGAGTGCGTGTCGCGTTGCGGAGACTCGCTGGGGCCTGCAGGCCCTGTGCCTGTTCGTTCCTCTCGGGCCTGTGGGGGCCGTGTCGGACTGATAGAGGCGGCCCGGGCCGCCCTCGCTCGCGCCGCGGGTGGGCTGGGGGCCGGGGCGTGCGGCGGGCTGGGGCGGCCACTCGGACCTGCGCGCCCGCCGAGCCCGGGGGCTGGCGTGGCTGGCGTGGGCTGGCGGGGGCTGGCCGGGGGCGGACGGCGTCGCGGAGGCCTGCCGCGGGGCTGGCCGCGCTTCAGTGCTGCATCCACCCCCTCTGGCAGCTGGGAGCGATTTTACAGGAATTGCGCCTAATACTGGGTTTTTTCCCCCCCTTTAAGTATGGCTGCTTCAGGCACATTTACAGCTGCAAACTCTTCGTCAGCTTTAACTTGTGGCTTTACATTTAACATTCAGATACAGGTTCAGAACTCAGGCTCAGATTCGGGCTGAGACTCGGGACACTGGGATAGGTGTTTGTATTTTAGCATTGGGGAAATTGAGGTATACTCTACCCAGAATCATCCAGTGTGGTTTAGGATTAGAATTTTGAAAATTATTCTTGTACTTAGTTGGCTGGTCCAGGTTACTTTTTATTTGGGGGGAAAAAATGAAGATTTTTTTTTTCTCAGTGCCTAGATAACTGTGTAGTATCTTCCAGGCTCCTGAGGCACATCTGTGGTGGGTTGCTGGCTCTTTTTTATATTCTTTTTGGTGGGATATTTAGAGATGTCCTGGAATATTCTTTTCCCTATCTTATTCTTTCTTGGTAAATTCAAGTTCCTAATCAGACTCTGATTTACAAAAACCGAGTTTTCAACTTTGACTTGTTTATTTGTAGCTTCTATGATGTTTGTGACTAAGTTTGTAGTATATGTATTTTCCACTTCTTTTCTTGTTCATCTCTTCTAATTTCGTCTACACGCTAAAGGACAGAGTTATGTCTTTGTTTTATATAGTCATTTCTGTTCTTTGTTTAATTTGTAATTGATTTTAAATAAAAGGAGATATCTTTCCTGTCTATTGATAATCCTAAGTGAATGTAGGTCTTTCATTACTAAATATCCCTTTAGTCCTCTTCCTTATCCCCCCTCCTCTTTTTTTTTTTTTTTTTTGTAAAGATAGGGTCTTGCTCTGTCCTCTGGGCTAGAGTGAGTGGCGTCATCATAGCTGTCTGCAACCTCAAACTCCTGGGCTCAAGTCATCCTCCTGCCTCAGCCTCCCGAGTAGCTCCAGGTGGGAACCACCACGCCTGGCTAATTTTTTTATTTTTAGTAGTGTGTGTGGGTGGGGGTCTCACTTTTGTTCAGGCTGGTCTCAAACTCTTGGCCTCAAGTAATCCTCCAGCCCCAGCCTCCCAGAGTGCTAGGATTACAGGCATGAACCACCTTGCACAGCACTCTATCATTTTTTAAGGATAGTCTGAGGAAAAGGAAAGAGGGTGAGGTATTTCTGTTGGTCAGATATGGGTAATATATTAACATAACTCATGACCAGAACATTAAGAGGTTGTAGACAAAAAAAATTGCTTCAATATAAAAATGCATATTTAATATTCCTTAAGTGAATTGGGGAACTCGTCAGGATGACAGAAAAGTGAACTGGGGTAGGACCTCACAGAAATGAACCTGACATTATGGTGAAATATTGAGAAAGGAACTTGAGAGATAATCATCTCTTTTATTATACAGTCATCCTTCTGTGCCTGGAGTGGATATAAGATCACCTGGCTGGCTCAGAAGCTTAAAAAATGTGTGTTTTCAGTTTTTCTTTTCTTGGTTCTAAATGAAGATTTTGGCAGGAGCCAAAAATTTTGTACATTTGATAATTTAACATCAGTTTTATTTGCTCATTCTCCAGATTGTCTCTATTACTCATTTTGTGACATCAGTAATTTTCCATAGCAGCCATTCACAAGCTCATGCACACTGTCATAAGGAAATGGGAAGAGGACAAAGGATGGTAAACACAGAAGAAATAACAATCCTGTTTCTTTTCCATCACATATTACACATAGATTTAGGAATTCTGGAATGGAGCATGATATATTTGGAAGGGGTTAGAACACCAGAGTCAAGGCCTCTATCTGCAGTAATAATCATTGAAACGATTTATTGAATGCCTTTTATTTACCAAACATTATAACTGTCATGGTGAACTGTATGGGTAGGTTAAATCATTTTACAAATGTATACATTGTAGCATAGAGGTTATTTGCCCACAGACATAGTAAGTTACAGGGCCAGAATTCACCTAAGTCTGCCTGACTCTAAAACCCCTGTTCTTTTGACTGTGCTATACTACTACCTCATCAACACAAATTTTCAGGTCTTTCTCATTCTTAAAAAAATATATACAACTTTCCTGTGATCATACTTCCCCTTCAAATTACTACCATTTCTCCTAGTTCTCCTTTCTAGACTTGTTCTTAAAAAGCAGATTCTATGTTCTCATTCATTTACTCCTTAGTTCATTGTAGTCACTTCCATCTTTAACTCTTTTGAAACTACTCTCATGAACTCCACTCAACTATTTACCTAATATCTACTGTATGTACCATCTTCTAGTCTTATAAAGATGGCTAAGACATGATTCTTGTCCCGAGGGAGTTTAAGGATTGATGAAGGAGAGAAGGTATTACATAGTTCATACATGTCAATGTGATATGTTAACTGCCAACAGGGCAGTCTTTATTTTGGGAGTTAAGGGAGAAAAAATTCATTGAGATGTTGCTCACTGCTAACAGAGAGAAACCTTAAATTGTTCTAGACTGTAGTGTGTAGTGTTAAGACTGCATGCTTAGATGTACAGTTTTAGGGAGATGCTGTATCTCTCCAGGGAGAAATGACCTTGGTTGAAAGATACAGCGTAGGCTTTGGAGTCTGATGGTCCTGGTAACTGAGCCACAATTTCTTCTTTGTAATACCTGCCTGCAGTGTAAGCTGTATGAAGGTAGGATCTTTGTCTTGTTCACCATATCACCCCACTTTCCTAGAACAGTGGTAGATGGTCAATAAATATTTTTTGAACAAATGCCTCAGGGTTACTATATTCCATGGTAGGTACTAGCACTATCAATAGTAGCATATGACTGATATAATGAGGGTAAATTTTCATTGTGGCTTATGAACTGATTTTGACAACCCTATCATTTGAATAATACACATAGAATCACCTCCCCTTCATTTTGAAAATTTAGGCTCATTACTTTATGGTCATCATTTATAAATGAGGAGAGATATATTCATCTCTTTCCAGTAGGCACAGTTAACTCTTCTAACATTATACCTGTCTTCCAGTTACATGCACATTCCTGCTTTTCAAAGCGTTTGTGATGTTTGTTTTGTATTTGTGTTTTTCTTTCTGCCAATGATGTGAATTGTTTGGGGAGGTTAACTTCTTTGGAATCATTAAATAGCTTTATCAATAAGAGTAACATCAATCTAAGCATTGCTAACTGTCAAAAAAAAAAAAAAAGAGTAACATCAAGAATGAGATTGAAAGAACCAATTCAGTTATCAAAAGTCTTTTTCTTGGAAAGGGCTTGATTTCCAAGTAGGGCTAAGAGAAGATTCACCTCTCCCCCAATAAAATGATATGACTGTTCCCAGCCTTCTCTAGATATCTGGTTAGACTTCTAGCTAACATTCTAAAGACATGAAACAACAGATCATTCCCCTGTTCTTGTGTTTGTGTTTCATTTGTAAATATCCTTAATTTGTGTGACTTGAGGATACGGTTAAAGTCCAAATACTATCTTTGGGTTTGTTTTTTTTTTTGAGACAGAGTCTCACTCTGTCTCCCAGGCTAGAGTGCCGTGGAATCGGCCTAGCTCACAGCAACCTCAAACTCCTGGGCTCAAGTGATCCTCCTGCCTCAGCCTCCTGAGTAGCTGGGACCACACGCATGTGCCACCATGCCCGGCTAATATTTTTCTATATATTTTTAGTTGGCCAATTACTTTCTTTCTATTTTTAGTAGAGACAGGTCTCACTCTTTCTCAGGCTGGTCTCGAACTCCTAACCTTGAGCGATCCACCCACCTTGGCCTCCCAGAGAGCTAGGATTACAGGTGTGAGCCACCGTGCCCAATCTTTAGGATTATTATGTAGGTATTTTCATATCTGCAAGTGAAAAATTCCCATTAATTATATAGATGGTAAAGCTGGATAAATGATTTAAAGATGAGATAGTTTATTGATCTCTGTGGTTTAATTATATGAGAAGTGGGAGTTTTACTAATTATATTTATGATCTGTTCCTTTTAAGTGCCCTAAACTCCTATGTTAATATAAAACTTTAAATATAAATTTCTTGGTGGTCTTTTTTGCCAGTTAGCCCTCAAGAAGCTTTATTTTTTGGCCGGGCACGGTGGCTCATGCCTGTAATCCTAGCACTCTGGAATTACAGGCCGAGGTGGGCGGATCACTCAAGGTCATAAGTTCAAGACCAGCCTGAACAAGAGCGAGACCCTGTCTCTACTAAAAATAGAAAGAAATTAGCTGGACAACTAAAAATACATAGAAAAACTTAGCAGGACATGGGGGTGCATGCCTGTAGTCCCAGCTACTCAGGAGGCTGAGGCAGAAGAATCGCTTAAGCCCAGGAATTTGAGATTGCTGTGAGCTAGGCTGATGCCACAGCACTTTAGCCCAGGCAACAGAGTGAGACTAAAAAAAAAAAAAAAAAAAAAAAAAGAAGCTTTATTTTCCTTAAAAACTCTTGTCTGCTATTTTTCAGAGCTACCTAAATATTGAGTAGCAGTTAGCTAACTAGTATTTGTTTCACTTTTATGACCCAAGGGATTGTTCCCCCCACTCTTGGTGGTGGGAATGACAGAAAGTCCTTGCAGTTACATTGCTTTTGTTTTCCTTATCATTATCCAGAGACTGCTAGGCCATAACATTATAGAAGAATGATCCTGGGAGGGACCCAGGTAAGTAACCAGATGACCATGGATGATTAACTATTTTCCAGGAAGACCTAGAGGGGATGGCATGGTTATGAGCATGAGCAAGTCCACAAAGGACAGTTGCACTTAACTGCTGCTGCTGTGCAGGAAGGGGAGATCTGTACCTTGGCTTGTGGATTTCTAGGGTGAGGTTCCTGTTTCCCTGGTCTGTATTTCAACTGTGTGTGTTCTACCTTACATGGTCACACCTAAATCTTGCCTAAAGGAACACTTACTATCTCTGGGTACAAAGAAAATATTGACTCAGGGAAGGGAAAGCAGCCTGAGCAACATACTTTATGGGAGCAGGAGCAGAGCTTGGCATAGAGAGTAATTATTTTGCTTTTCAGCTGATGCCAGTTTAGGGGGAGACAGTTGAGAAATTTGTATGATACAGTGGGTGTTTGCCTCAGATGTCCTTGACATTAGGGGAAATAAAAGGTGATATGAATAATCTACAAAAGTGACTGGGGTGACTGGAGGAGGAGCCAATTCTACAAGTTCAGTGCTGCTGGCTGCCTTATCTGGGAGTTTGGTGGGGTCCAAGTTTCAAGGCTATCTTTACATACTGCTTAGTAACTGCTTCATTTAGCAGCTCCCCGCTCTGAGAGAATGCAGGTAGGTTCCAAGATCTGAAAGAGGTATACTGTGGCTGGAGCATAAAGTATGGGTTGAGGGCAGGAGAGAGATGAGGCTGCAAAGGTTAGCAGGGTCTGCTAGGTCATACAGGGTCTTACAGACCAAGTTAATAAATTAGGACTTTTTCCTAAAGGCAATGGGAAGGTTTTAAAGAGAGGAAGGAAATGATTGGTTGCATTTTAAAGGGATTTCTGTGGCTGCAGGGAAGAGAGTGGATGGGGGCAGGGGGCAAGACTAGAGGCAGAGTTCCCAGTTAAGAGACTTGTAATAGGCTGGTTGGAGTGCAGTGGTGTTTACAGCTAATTGATCACAACCAGTTACAAATTCTTTTGTTCTTTCTCCACTCCCACTCCACTCTTGACTAGCCTGAAAAAACAAAAAGAGAGAGAGATACTTGGAATGATCATGATGGCATCCCTAACTGGAAAATAGCAACAGATTGTAAGAGAAAAAGGAGGTTTCAAAAACATTAGGAAAGGCCTAATAGTTGAGGGGTGGAAATGGAAAGATGGAGAATCCATTAAACCTGACGCCCAAGTCCGGCTGGAGAAAGTGAGTGGGTAGGTTATAATGGCAATTTTCTGAGATAACAGACCACTGGAAGGGGACCAGGTTCTTGAGGGAAGATGATGAGTTAACTTGGGGCATGGTAAATGTAGAGGAGCTCCCCAATGGGCAGCTGAATGCGCTGGTCTGAGGTCACAGAGAAATGTGTCTTGGAGATAAGAGATTGGAGTCGTCTGCCTGTGTGTGTTCATTGAAGCCATGTGAGTAAATTGAAGCTCCAGGAGAATGCAGAGAAAAAAAAGAGAGTCAGAGGCAGAACATTAAGGCATTGTAAGAACAGGCATAGGAGCAGGAACTGGGAAAGGAGACTAAGAAGGAGCAACTGGAAAGGCAGGGGGAAAACCAGATGATCGTGACACTTAGACACCCTGAGAAGGTTTCAAGGAGGAGAAAGAGGTTACAGAGCTAAATGCTATGAGGGGTCAGGTGTAGTAAGAACTCCAATGTAGTCATTGGATCTAATGAGCTTCAGCTGTGCTGGTGGACGCTTTAGACCAAGAATGTGCTAAGGGCACTAATAATCAGAGACATGAAATAAAAAGAGAATATAGAACTTGATATTGGCCATTTTATAGAAACATAGCAACTCATCTGGGAATAAAACCTAAATTGTTTTCATGTTTATTTGTTTAAATAGATAATACATTAACATGGTTCAAAATTCAATACAAAACAGTATTAAAGTAAAAAGTCTCCCTGCCACCCAGTTCCCTTCACATGTTTTTTTTTTTTTTTGCATAAATGTTTTCACATTCTCTTCACTTTTTTTTTTTTTTTTTTTTTGAGACAGAGTCTCACTTTGTTGCCCAGGCTAGAGTGAGTGCCATGGCATCAGCCTAGCTCATAGCAACCTCAAACTCCTGGCTCAAGCAATCCTCCTGCCTCAGCCTCCCGAGTACCTGGGACTACAGGCATTCGCCACCATGCCCGGCTAATTTTTTGTATATATATTAGTTGGCCAATTAATTTCTTTCTATTTATAGTAGAGACGGGGTCTCGCTCTTGCTCAGGCTGGTTTTGAACTCCTGACCTTGAGCAATCCGCCCGCCTCGGCCTCCCAAGAGCTAGGATTACAGGCGTGAGCCACAGCGCCCGGCCCGTGGCAGAATTTTTAAATTTTGGTTTCCATTAATGTTGTGTTTTTATAATTACAAAACTCAAAGAAGAATCCAGAACTTCCTTTCCCATGAGTAGTCCAGTGACTGTGTTTATAATTCAGAGATTTCTTTGGCCCTGTAGCTTAAATTTATCCTGCTATGACTTAAGTTCATCATTTGTGTTTGCATCTGACTGTATTCTCAGTGGAAAAGAACAGTCCTGTGGGCATTTGTACAAAGTGCCCAGAAGTGCTGGGAAGAAGTACTTCTGAGTCTTGGACTCTGATAGCCTGCGTCCCACCCCAATGCAGCTCAGATTGGTCTGGGAACCAAACGCTTGGACTGTGGAGAACACTCAGGAGACATGGGGGCATTTCTGTAGATGTAGATTCAGAAATAGCAATCTTTTTCCCGTAGAGCCTATTTTGCAAATTGCTGTACTTTTCTGGTTCCTTTGTAAGTTTCTCTTTTCCTTTAAACTGCCTTTAGTAGCTTTTGCATTTGGAAAAGTAATTCACTTTATTGTAATAGAAAGCAACTGCAAGCCTATGTGAAGTGAGACACCTGAGGGATTTTGTTTAGCCTTAAAAAAACAAAAAACCCAGTTGCTTGGAAATCTAAGGTTCAAAAGTGTTGTCATTTCTTTTTCCAGCACTTATTCCAGCTATTACTCAAACTATGGGAGACTTGTTACAGTAACTTGAAAAATGACACAGACTTTACCTCTTAGTAGCTTAGGAAGTTCCTGACTTTCATAGGTTGCCAGGTTGTCAAATTCATGCTGAGCTGTGTTAGTAAAGTGTTAGTTACAAATGAGAGAGAAAGGGATCCTTTTCACAGTTATAGATAAGCTATTTCTAATAGTTAGCACTTTTTTTTTATTTTTGCTTTTCTTGGTTTTGTATAAACATTAAATCCCTGAAGAGATAGCTATTTGAGGTAATTGAGTAGTAGCTCTGTCAGAGGAAGAGAAAGGCAAGACTTAGAGAAGCTGGATCACTGCTATCAGTCATCAGGGCTTCATTTGTGAACCTCAGAGAAAACTTGAGGAGATACATTCTTACTCTAATGTTTTATACTTAAATTGTAATTATTTTTTAATTGAGATATAATTCACATGCTATAAAAGCCACCCTTTAAAAGTGTACAGTTCAGTGGTTTTTAGTATATTCACTCTGTTGTGCAACCATCACCACTGTCTACTTCTAGAACATTTACATCAACCCAAAAGAAATTCTGGTACCAATTAGCAGTCATTTTCTATTCCTCCCTTTCTCTGGCTCCTTAATCTACTTTTTGTCTCTATAGATTTACCTATTTTGGACATTTCATATAAATGGAATCATATAATATGGGGTCTTTTGTGACTGGCTTATTTCACCGATAGTAATGTTTTCAAGGTTTATCCATATTTTAGCATGTATCAGTACTTCATTTTTAGGCTGAATAATATTCCATTGCATGGATATGCCACATTTTGTTTATCCATTCATCAACTGATGGAAATTCAAGGTGTTTCCACCTTTTGCTATTATAAATAACACTGCTCTGAACATTAGTATATAGGTTTTTATGTGATGTAATTATTTTTAAACATAGTTTTCAGAAAACATTAAAAATCAGGACCAATACGATCCTTTTGTAGTTCATAAGCATGATGATTGGGTTTTCACACACGTGTGAAATGTGCCTCCCTCAAATCTTGTTAAGATGTCAGCACGTTACCTGTCTGACATAAAAAAAAAAAAATTGGGACCAATAAACTCCATACTCCTACCACCTATTAGAGCCATAGTCATTTTTTATATTACCTTTTATATGTATGTATTATATAGTTGACACTTGAATAGCTTGGGTTTGAACTGCATGGGTCAACTTATGCAGATTTTTTCCAACCAAGCTTGTACCAAAACTACAGTATTCACAAGATGCAAAACTTACCTGTGTCGGGGGCCGATTTTTCATATATGTAAGTTCTAAGGGACTTGAGTATGCGCAGATTTCAATCCACATGGGGGTCCTGGAACCAATCCCCTGTGTGTACCAAAGAACAACTGTATGTATTTCTTTTTTTCTTTTTCTTTTTTGAGACAGAGTCTCGCTTTGTTGTCCAGGCTAGAGTGAGTGCCGTGGCTTCAGCCTAGCTCACAGCAACCTCAAACTCCTGGGCTTAGGCAATCCTGCTGCCTCAGCCTCCCAAGTACTTGGGACTACAGGCATGCGCCACCATGCCCGGCTAATTTTTTCTATATATATTAGTTGGCCAATTAATTTCTTTCTATTTATAGTAGAGACGGGGTCTCACTCTTGCTCAGGCTGGTTTCAAACTGCTGACCTCGAGCAATCCGCCTGCCTCAGCCTCCCAGAGTGCTAGGATTACAGGAGTGAGCCACCATGCCCAGCCTGTATGTATATTTTTAAGTGGCTGAAATCATGTACTGTCTTTGTGCTGATGACTCTACTTTTCTTTTATTCCCTCTTCACCCTACTCCAATTGGACTTTCACCCTTACCATTAAAATTAAAAGCTCTTGAGCATCACTAATAACCTCCAGCATGCCAAACCAAGGACCAGTTCTCTGTCCTCATATTGCTTGACACTGATGATTATTCCCTCCGTGTCTTCATCTGTTTTATGTTGTTATAACAGAATACTACAGATAGATAATTTATAAAGAACAGAAGTTTATTTCTCATAGTTCTAGAGGTTGGGAGGTCCAGGATCAGGGCACTGGTATTTGGTCTGGTGAGGGCCTTCTTGCTGCATCTTTCCTGGTAGAAGAGCAAGGGAACCAACTCCTTCCATCAAGCCCCTTTATAAGGGCACCTACTCCCTTATAAGGCGGGAGCCCCCATGGCCTAATCACCTCTTAATACCATCACATTGGTAACACCTGATTTTGGAGGGGACTCATTCAAACCATAGCACACCTTCTGGAGACACTTCTCTTGATTTCCACAATACTACATGCTACGAGTTTTCCTTCTGTTTCATGGACACTCCTCAAATTTTATTCCCTCTTTTTCTGCCTAATCTCTAAATGTTTCAGGATTTGGTCATAGGCCCCCTACTGTGCATTCTTTCCTTGGTGATAACAGCTACTCCTGCTATATGCTAATGACTCCCAAATTCCCATCTCCAATTCTGATTTCTGTGAACTCTATACTCATATATAAAAAGTTGCCTATTTGACATCTCCACTTATGAGTCTAATAGGTATCCCAATTTAACATGGCCAAAGCAGATCCCTTGCTTTCTAACCCTGCAATCTGCTATCTCCCCAGTCTGCCCTCATCCTAGTTGATGGGCCCTCACAGTTGCTCAGGTCAAAAGCCTTGGAGACATCATTGATTCACTCTTTCCGTTATCTGTCTCTGCACCTCCAAATTATATCCAGAATCTAGTTATTTGTCATCATCTCAACACTTTTAGTCAAAGATACCATTTTTCACTTGGACAACTGTAATACCTTCCCTCTGTAATTCATTCTTTACACAGCAGCCAATGTGAGTTCTTTAAAAACCTAAGTCAGATGATGTCATTACCCTGCTCAGGCCTCTCCTGTGGCTTACTGTTACATTACAAAACAAAATCTAGAGTCTGCCATGGCTAGAAGGCTCTCCACAGCCTAGTTCCTGCCTGCCTACCTTTCCAGTGTTACCTGCTGCTTGCTGCCTCATCACTTTGCTTGGGCTACTCTTCTGGATCGTCACAGAGCTGGCTCCTTTTCATCATTGTGGTGTCAGCTGAAATGTCATCTCCTCAGAGGTGCCTTCCCTGACCACTTATTAAAAATAGCCACCACCCTTGACTGGGCCTGGTGGCTCATGCCTATAATCCTAGCACTCTGGGAGGCCAAGGCGGGAAGATCACTCAAGGTCAGGAGTTCGAAACCAGCAAGAGCAAGACCCCGTCTCTACTAAAAATAGAAAGAAATTAGCTGGACAACTAAAAATATATAGAAAAAATTATCCAGGCATGGTGGCATATGCCTGTAGTCCCAGCTACTTGGGAGGCTGAGGCAGAAGGATTGCTTGAGCCCAGGAGTTTGAGGTTGCCGTGAACTTGGCTGATGCCATGGCACTCTAGCCTGGGCAACAGAGTGAGACTCTGTCTCAAAAAAATAAAATAGAAAAATAGCCACCCTTACCTGTCACTCTGTAAGTACTGTTCTGTTTTCTTCATAGCATGTATTATTACATTGAAATTGTCTTATTCATTTGTTTATCATCTCTTTTTTTGTCACTGATAATAATATCTAGCATTTATTAAGCACATACTATGTACCAGGTATTGTGATAGATATTTGTTTATATTTTCTCATTTATCCTCTTTTTATTTTTCTAATTTTTTTTTATTTCAGCATATTATGAGGGTACAGATTTTAACGTTTCAATAAATGCCCATTCATTTATCCTCTTAAATGGTGTAGGTATTAATATCCCCATTTTATAAACAGAGGTTCATGAAACAAGCCCCTTAGCTAGGCATCTACATAGAAATCTGCGAGAATCACCTGAGGCTGTAAGCTCATGAAACCACTCCTCTAAGAATGCTGGGGAAATGCCTGGTTCTTTGAAGACAGTGAAATAACACTTAAAGTAATGATTTTTCAACACTGGTGCCAGCTACTCCTCGAAAAACCCCAGTGCCTGTGCCCGAGCACAGATTTGTCTGCCAGCACCGTTTCCCCTTCTGGGCTGAGTCACCAAACCAGTCTGAAGAGGAGCGTGAAAAGTGTGGATCCTTATCTTGTTTCATTGTTATATCCCTAGCACATGGAACAGTGTCTGGTACATAGTAGTTGCTAAAAAAAAATCTGTTGATTGGGTAAATGAATGAAAAACTCCCAAATTTATGTCTCTAGCTCTGACATCTCTCCAAAGATATATCTAGTCACCTACTTAACATCCCCACTTGGGTTTCTAAATAAACATTTAAATTACCCCACAACTCTGAATCTTCCCTTCCCCCAAACCTGTTTCTTTTCCAGTTTTTCTCCTATTAGTAAATGGCATGGCATCTTCATAAATTTGGTAGTTCAGACCAGAAACCTAGGCCTTGCTTTTGATTGCTTCTTTTCTCTCATTCCCCACATCCAACCCTGCAGCAAGACCTGCCAGTTCTACCTCTGATTGTATCGTGAATCCATTTATTTCTCTTAATTTCCATTGTCAGCACTTTAGTCTCACTCTCTATAATCTTTCCCCTGCACTTCTAGACACATCTTCCTGCATCCAGTCTTATCTCACTACAAGTCATTCCTCCATGTAGCAGCCAAATTGGTTTTTAAACAATGTGTTAGTTCACACCATAATCATGTTTAGGACCCTTTTGTGGATTCCCATTGTCCTTGAAATCTAAATCCTTCACTGTGGCCTGAAATCCCTTGGTGATCTGGTATCTTTGTTTGTCCAGTTCCATTTGCCACTGTCTTCCTTGTTCATTAGGTTTCAGTTATGCTGTGCTTCCTTCTGTTCCTCCCAAGGCCCTTCTCATCTCAGAGCATTGTTTTGGTTTTTTGTTTGTTTGTTTGTTTGTTTGTTTGTTTGTTTGTTTGTTTGAGACAGAGTCTTACTTTACTGCCCAGACTAGTGTGAGTGCCATGGCATCAGCCTAGCTCACAGCAACCTCAAACTCCTGGGCTAAAGTGATCCTGCTGCCTCAGCCTCCCAAGTAGCTGGGACTACAGGCATGCGCCACCATGCCCGGCTAATTTTTTCTATATGTATTAGTTGGCCAATTAATTTCTATCTATAGTAGAGACAGGGTCTCGCTCTTGCTCAGGCTGGTTTCAAACTCCTGACCTCGAGCAATCCGCCTGCCTCGGCCTCCCAGAGTGCTAGGATTACAGGAGTGAGCCACCGCGCCTGGCCTTCAGAGCATTGTTTTGTTTCCCTGCCTCCAACTTTATTAAGGTATAGATGACAAATAAAAATTGTATATACTTAAAATATATGACATAATGATTTGTATACATATATATTTTGAAATGATTACCACAATCAAGTTAACTCATCTATCACCTCACATAGTTACCTTTTGTGTGTGAACACTTTAAAAACCCTTACGATCTGCTCTTTTAGCAAATTTCAAGTGTATAGTCACTATGCTGTACATTATATCCCCAGAACTTATAACTGAAAGTTATATTCTTTGACTAAATCTCCTAATTTCCCTTACCCACCCACACATACCTTCTGCCCCTGGAAACCACCATTCAACTCTCTGCTTCTATGAACTTGACTTTTTTAGATGCCGCATATGTGTGAGATCATACAGTATTCATCTTTCTGTGTCTGGCTTGTTTCACTTAGCACAATGTCCTTCAGGTTCATCTGTGGCAGAATTTCCTTGTTTTTTATGGCTGAATAATAGTCCATTGGCAAGACACATCTATATACACATATACATACACCCCCCCCACACACACATACATTTTCTCATCAACAGAAATTTAGGTCATTTCTATATCTTGGCTATTGTACATAATGCTGCAATGAACATGGGGGTGCAGATATCTCTTTGAGATACAGATTTCATTTCTTTAGGATATACAACATGAATTCTGCTAAAATTGAAGCAAGAACAAACATCAAATTTATAGGAAGCTTGAGTGAAAGAATGGTGAAATCATAGATGCTTTATGAAAAGTTTCTGAGGACAAAGTCTCAAAGAAATTAACAGTTTACAAATGGTTAACTCATTTTAAGAAGGGATGAGACAATGTTAAAGATGAAGCCTACAACAGCAGACCATCCATATCAATTTGCAAGGAAAAAATTCATCATATTTGTGTCCTATTTGAAGAGGACTGACAATTAGCAGCCCAAACAATAGGTACCACCATAGACATCTCAATTGGTTCAGCTTACACAATTCTGACTGAAAAATTAAAGTTGAGCAAACTTTCTACTTCAATGGATGCCAAAACTGTTGCACTCAGATCACCTGCACACCAGAGCAGAGCTCTCAATAGAAATTTTAAACAAGTGGGATCAAGATCCTGAAGCATTTATTTGTAACAGGAGGTAAAACATGGCTTTGCCATGTGATTCTGAAGACAAAGCACAGTCAAAGCAATGGCT